CGGCTCCTGAAGAAGGACCTCTAATCCAGATCATAAGGAGCAGGCAGGTATGTATGGAAGGAGGTGCTCCTTCAAATATCCAGGTCCTAGGCCGTTCTATAAGTCATCTATAAGTCATCACCAGCACCTTAAATTGGGTCTGGACTTCAATTGGAAGCCAGTGCAGATGGTACAGGACTAGCGTTATGTATGTATATCTGCCGGTCCCTGTTAGCAACCTGGCTGCTCTGTTCTGAACCAGTTGAAGTATCTGGACCGTCTTCAAGGGCAGACCCACATGGAACGTGTTGCAATAGTCCAATCTTTGGACTTCTCTCCCTATATCTAATTCCCACAGAGTCTCATGAGCTTGAACCACAGCTGGGGTTTGAATCGTTTTAAATACATCCTCATCTTCCCATCAGGACAGGTATCCTCCCAGGCGGACACCTGAGATCTGACAGGACACACTCACACAATGGTGAGTGTGCCACAGAATGTACTCTCAACACATAGTACAGTAAATATATAACATGCAGCTGCCCCTTCTCTTTGCTTTTTACTCAGAAATAAATGTACTGGGCCACATCCAAACTGGAACTACTGCATGCTGGGATTTGTTTCCTAGAATTGGTTAGAAAGCAACCGGGGGCTTAAAAAATGAAAATAACAACCTCCACTAGCACCAATGGAAGTTTTTATTTTCTTTTAATAATCCCCCCTGGAGGGATTAGAAACATGTGTTTGTGGTGGAAGGTTTAAACTTCCCTACCATCACATGACAGTTCCATCTGGACAGTGGCTCTGCACAATTACTTGTCATTAAGAAACAAAGAGAGAGATAGATGTACACAATGTATTTATTATGTGTCAAATATTGTACAGTTTGACCTAAACGGATGCATTGCGCTGTTCTCACAAGATGACCCAATAGTGGAGAAAGTAGGAAGCTGTTATGTTAAGCTCAGTCCTTGGTCAAGCAACTGCATGAGAATCACTGATGTTTTCTCTGGGTAGAGATTCAACCTGTTCATTAATTAATTTACAGAGTGATAACTCCCTCATGTGGGATCTTCTCTTCCCAGCTAATGTGCATAGAATGTTAAAATACCTTTATCAGTGGAATAAAAACTTGAAGCAGATGATAACTCATCATGTTGATACTATGGTCATCAGAACTCACCCTAGGAGATAGACTCACATCTGACTATTTGCAAATCAAAAAAATGCACACGTTACAGGCATCTCGCAACATCTACATTCAGAAACATAATACAGGTGACAGCATTTGAGGTTGTTCAGCCTAGTTCATTATTTTAGCATTGTATCATAAATGTAACTTCTATTCTTTTGTGACATCAAATGACTGCATTTATTTATTATATCTATACCCTGCTCTTTTCCTTCTTGCCAGGTGGCTTACATAGTCCTCCTCTTCTCCATTTTATCCTCATCACAACCTTGAGAGGAAGGTTTGGTTGAGATTCCATAACTAGCCCAAAGTCACACACTGAGCTTCATGGCTGTCTGTGGACTAAACCCCTGATCTCCCTAGACCTACAGTCTAACCGCTACACCATGGTGGCTCTCAGCTAATAATTACATTAAGCAGTGCCCCCATATATCCCACATTTGATGAGTGTAAACACTTAAATGTGCATAAAGGAACAAACTGATCTACTCTGGAATCAGTTGCCAAGAACCAGTATGCACCTCCTATCAATCACATCCAAGTAATTCATGAAGTTTGAGCTTCTGAGAACACATATTGTGCAACATTACGGTACTAAGTAAAGGTAAAGGTTTCCCCTTGACATTAAGTCCAGTCATGCCTGACTCTAGGGGGCTGTGCTCATCTCTGTTTCCTAGCCGAGAGAGCCAGTGTTTGTCCGCAGACAGTCTCCGTGGTCATGTGGCCGGCATGACTAAATACCGAAGTGCATGAAATGCTGTTACCTGCCCACCAAAGTGGCACCTTTTTATCTACTTGCATCTGCATGCTTTCGAACTGCAAGGTTGGCAGGAGCTGGGACTGAGCAACGGGAACTCACCCCGCTGTGCAGATTCGAACCGGCGACCTTTCGATTTACCAGCCCAGCAGCACAGCGGTTTAAACCACTGCGCCACCTGCAGTCGTATTACAGTACTAAGTAAAACTAATACCTTCATTTTTCAAGCCGTGGGCAGGATAATAATCCAGGAACTGTCCTTTCTTAATTATCCAATTGAATTTTAACTTTTAATTGCTTTTATTCTATTTGCCCCAAATCCACAGCTGGATCTAGTGTGTCCCATTCACAGAAGGGTCTAAGATCCTGCAAGGGCTCCCAGTGGAGGAAAGGCAAGGCAATTTCAGCACTAGCCCCATCTGCCCTTCCTTTCACACTGTTAACACAAGGAGATCCATGCTGGATCAGATAAAAGGTCTGGCATGTTCTTCCTGCCTTGGTCAGCCTGATGCTTATAGAATACCTGCAAGCAAGACAGAAGTGCCATTACACCCTTCTGACTAGTATAGACAGATATTTTGTCTCAGGTACTGGAAGTAACTTTTAGTCACTGATTTTGTCTAAGGCCCCTTTTCTATCCATGCAAATTGGTGGCCATCTGGGTCCCCCAACCCTCCTGACCAGCTTCTCTGCAGACTGCCAAGAGAGTGAAGTTGCTTTTCCTAGTGGAGGCATCCCATAAGCAGAAGTGCAGTTCTAAGCCTCTTCGCCTTGACTTCGATACATAAAAGGGTAGTGCATACAAGAAACAGACAGACAGAACCAAACTTCTGACTTCTTTTCCAATGCTAGCTAGGAAAATAGCAAGTAATGGCAAGGGGACAAAAGTTATGCTGAGACCAGACATCAGATCTTTTGGACTGCAACTCATTCAAGGGTTGACTCAAGCAGGGAAATGCCAAAAGGTCTCATAGCCTCAGAATTTGCCAGATCTGGAGAAGGACTTGCCAGAGATTTCTTGGGCAAGGGGCAGGATAGATTACTAGCAAAATTCCACTGAGTTGACCACTCCCTTCAGAGAATATCTGCCTGCCTCAAAACACCCACTGGAGAGGAAAAGAGCAGAATCCAACAGAACAGAAGCCATTTCACAGTGACACCATGCACAATTCCGCATCAGAGAGCCACAACTTTAAACTCCCTGCAAGTTCATTTAAGGTGAAATCTGGCTATTGCGGCTAGGATCAGGAGCAACAGTTGGGTAGTAAGGACCCGTACAATTGATCCTACTCACTGCGGTTGCATTTTAAGCGTTACAGGAGAGCTACTGGGTGAAACTATGGAAGAGAGCTGGTATACTCTCAAAAGGGCACTTGAAATGGTGCTTCTTCTAATGTTTCCAACAGAGCTGGAAATTATGCCAACCATCTCTTTCTCTTAGGTCTTACTTCATGAGCAATGTGTGATGTCAGCACAAACGGAAGAATAGAAACAATAAGACACCACCATAAAAGCATCATCTGTGCTGGCCGATTGTCAGCTACTTGAAGATCTGAACTTCCTGATGCAGTTGGTGAACTGAAGCCAACCACCTGTTAAGAAAGACAAGCCTTGCCCTTCACAGCTGATTGATTAACTGCCTTTGACCATACATAAAATGGTCAAAGCATCACCACACTAATAGTTAATGTTTAGGAATACAGTTCACTATACCTGATTTATTTATTTTGTGTTTGCAGTGGAAGAAACATGAATTATGTGGTACCTGTCTTTCCTGCTGCCACATAATAAAGAATGACCAATCAACACAGTTTCCATAATCTTAGTATATTGAAATAAATCATTGTGAAAAGTACAGAAGCAACTACATTTCCTTTCCACATTTCCTCTGTGAAATTCAGGTGTTCCTAATTCAGTACTCATGCTATGAAATATAGAGCCATGTTTGAAGTCAACACAGAAATTGATATTTTGCCCAGTGCATGCATATTTCTTTTAGTCTTGATAGAGTAAACAAAGAGTGAGAGGAGAGAACCAAACCCCATCCTTCAGAAAATGTAAACGCCTGACATCTATCACCCTTACTAGGAATACAAAATTGTTAGCATTTACTATTCAAGCCTGTGAGTGTATGTTTTCTACCTCCTCCAAAGCATCCTTAGACATTCACCAAGATATCTGTCACTTTCTCAAGAAGAATATTAAACCAGAAGAATGTCACCAAGCATTAATTTCATTCCACACTAACTACTGACTGTTGGAAGCCAGCATCTGTGCATGTTTGCATGCAAACGCATGCAAGTGAATGTGTTTTAAACAACTCAGGCTGCTTTACAGAACCCCACAGCAGTAGCGTGTACATCATTCTTGTCTTAGACACTCATCCACCCAGTCTTCCCACAACACAGCCTCCACTAGAGCACAGAGTTAATCCAACTCAACACCAAGGCTGTAGCACTGCTCAGATGCTACAAGGGTTGAAGATCACCAGCTGAATGTTCCTTTAAGCTTTGTTATTGACCCTGCCTTTATGACAGCCATCCCAATAGGAGGCTACTGCAGTAGCTTTTTGTCCCACCTAGCTGAGAAGAGACAGTTGACATTGAAGACACTGAAGTCAACAGATACTCACTATCCGTATCCACCATCCCAGTTGCTGGAGACAATGATCACCGGAGGCAACAAAGGAATGTCAGAACAAAATAAAAGAACCCCCACCCCACAGGACCTATTCGTCCAAGACAAGTTTGCATCAGGAAGATGAAAATAGTGCGGAGAGAAAGAAAACTCAAAGGGTGGGGAAGGGAAGCAGTGCCACCTTTTGTTTTCTGTTTTCTCAGTTTCACAAGTTTCTCCCCTGCCCCTTCCAAAGATCGTAGTAATGCTGACCATCTTCCAAGACAGGAGTCATCCAGGAGAGGAGGGAGAGAAGTACAATAACAACAAAACCTCCACTCCAAATCTCAAATTCTCCCCTTTCTCCCAGTTACTAGGTAGGAGGAATAACAACCACTATTATAAGGACGAGCAATGAAAATAATTATTTTTTAAGAAAGAAAAAGCAACACCAACCTTTAGGGTCCCAGTTCACCTGTTTCCTTGGAGTCTCAATTGGAAATTTCATCGCTTCCTTTGCAGAAGAAAGGGGAATGGATTAAATGATTTCCCGACCTTTTTCTGCCTTGGTGCTGCAGCCAAACAAACAAATTAATTTCAGATCAGGGGGAGCCTGCGCCCTTGGAATGACGGGGACGGGGGGAGCTGGGGTTGCCAGGCAAAGATAGATACACGTGAAAAGGAGGAAGGGAAAAGGGGCTTAGCGCTGGCGAGCAAGTGAGAAAGGCCAGCTGGAGAGAGAAAGGGAGAAAGTCTGATGCAAGGCGCTTCCTGGGTTCCGTGTGCTCCAACGGCGGCTGCGGGGCCTCCCGCTCCTTGGGTGTCCAAGTTGACCACTGCAGCATTACACACTGGGCTGGCGCACACGTGAACGCATCGTCCAGCCAGATGCGGATGGGGACGGGTGGGGTGCCAGGGAACCTCGCCAGCCAGCCAGCCAGCCACTCAGTCAAGCCTCGCCTGCCAGCCAGGCTGCTGCGCCGCTAATGCATCCGGAGAACGCATTCCACAAGCGCATCGCCTTTCCACCACCAACCTGCCAAGCCAGCGGGGCCGAGCCCAGCTCAAGATCTGCGCAGGGCTTGCAAAGCGCACACACGCACACCGTCGCGCGTAGGAGAGCAGAGCCGCGAACGGAGACAGACGAGCGAGAGGGAAACTCATCCGCTCGCTGGTGGGAGCCGCAGCCGCATGGCTCGTGGGAGGATGCGGGGGACCATCCCATCTGAATGCAGCAACCGCGAGCGGCGGCGGCGGCGGCGGGCGCACGCCAGACGGAGGACGAGATACAGACTCCCTCTCGGCTCCGAGCGGCTGATCGAAAACTTCAGTGGGGGCCCCTGGGCTTGGAAGTGGGGGGTCTGCAAGGGAGGTGGAGAGCGGAGATCGACTCGCTCCGGGAGGAATAGGGGAGGGGGTTGAGCTCAGGTTGCATGGGGTGGGGGCGCTGGCGGTGGCTGGCTACTTACTGTCTCCCTTCCTCCCCCGGAGGAGGAGATTGCATTGCAGTTGTTGTTAGGTGGAGTTTTGCAGCGGAGACGCGCTTGGCTGGGTAGTAGAAGCGGCGGCACATGGCAGAAGGACTCAGGAACTGCAGAGGGAGCTGCAGCAGCAGCAATGATAAGAACAGCAATAATAGTTCGATCATAAGATGCATTGTGATTATTGTTGTGGCGAAGGGGCTGGGCGAGCGAGGGGAGTTTTACCCAGCACAGGGACGGGTGCCCGAGGACTTTCCCCCTGTAATAGGGTGGGCGCAACGCGCCAAGGCGAGGCCACGAGGCGCGAACTCCGGAGTGGCTGCGCCGGCTTGAAGTCCAGACAAAAAAGAAGCGCCAGGCGCGGAGATCGGGCGCACGGCACTTCCGCCTGGACTCCTGCGGGGCCCTATTCTACCTATATATGCTCATTCGGAAGTAAGTCCCACTATTATTTCATGGGGCTTCCGACCAAGTTAATATGCATTGAATTTCAGACTCAGTGTTCGTAGATCCGCCTTGCCCAACCTGGTTTGTGGGAGTGCCATGACTAGCTAGAGGATGTTGGGATTTGTAGTCCAACGCATCTGGAGGGCAGCAGGTTTGGGGAAGGCTGCTGTAGATTGTTTCTCTCCACCTCTGTTTCTGTTACAAAAATGATGCATTGTATGAAGGTTGCTGGAACAAGTTGTGTTCAAAATACCCAGTGCAAAATACCCAGTGCAAGCCTCAGCACAGATCAGCAAGTCCCACGTCTCTGGTACAAATCAAGTGATGAGGTAAGCCAGCAGTATCCAGGCAGGGCATGTGGGTTGTGTGAGTGGGAGAGTGGGAGGGAAGCAACATGAATAATAAGTAGAATATGCGCGACTGCACTATATTTTGGATCCACAGTGTAGATAAGGGAACAAGGAGAACACTTTCCTCTGAACGTCAGCAGATGCCTGCTTGCTCTCTCCTGAGAAAGGTCCCTCTGTTAGAAAAGGAAAAATTTGCTTCCTTCCACCAGACTTCCGCCTATGCCAAGGGAAACAACCCTCAGACTAGGAACACTGGATTCTTTGCTGCTCACTCACCCCACCCCTCCACATGCTTGCGTTTGCTACAGCTGTTGTTTGCTAATTCTGCCTTCTTCCTCCCACTCTGGGGCTGACTTCTGGTCAAAGACAGGTTGGCACCAAGGGCCCCCAAGGGAGGATTGGCTGTTTCTGGAGGCAGCACAGTCCTAGCAATCTTGTATGCTTGGCTACATTTGCCCAGACGGAAAAACGAGACAATCTTGAGTTCCTTTGAGACTTGAACGAGTAGAGCGGCTGCTTAGCCCCGTCAGTGATTTGGGTGTTGCTTTCAGCCTTCATTGTTGTTGTTGGTTTTTTCCCTTGGAGTGATTGACTACCCCATATGTCAATCAGGAATCAGAAGCCCAAACTACTTGAATGTTTTAGTGCATAGGTGGGAATGCAACAAAACGTTGCCATGTGAAGTTGTTGCTATTATGTGCTGTCAAGTCATCTCCAACCCTCACCCTATGAATAAGTACCCTCCTAAAATACCCTGTTTTTTACAGCCCTGTTCAGATCTTGTAAGCTCAAGACTGTGGCTTCCTTTATGGAATTGGTCCCTCTCATGGTTGGCCTTCCATCCCTTCTCTGCCTTCAACTTTCCTCAGCATGATTGTCTTCTCCTTGCCTTCTCACAATGTGCCCAAAGTACAACAGCTTCTGTTTCATCATTTTTGCTTTCAAGGAAAGTTTTGGATTTGACATAACCTTGGGATTCATTGGTTTGTCTTACTGTCAGTTTAGTGTAGTTGCAAAGCTCTCCTCCAGCATCATATGTTGGGGATGGCATGAGCGGAGCCAGCTGGAGCCAGGGGTCAGACTAGATGGCCCAGGAGACCCCTTCTGACTTACTTTGCTTCTATGTTTCTATATTTCAAACATAGCCATTTTTTCCTTTCAGCTTTCTTCACAGGGCAGCTTTCACACCCATACCTAGCAATTGGAATAGCCATGGGAAGTTGTTGCTAGTCGCAAAGTCGCGTCCAACCCATCGCAACCCCATGGAAAACATTCCTCCAGGCCTTCCTGTCCTCCACCATCCCCTGGAGTCCACTTAAGCTCATGCCGACTGCTTCAGTGACTCCATCTAGCCACCTCATTCTCTGCCGTCCCCTTCTTTTGCCATCAATTGTTAGGGTCTTCTCCAGCATTAGGGTCTTCTCCAGCCATGTGAAGTTCCTCTGTGTATATCTGGCTGGCCTAATGAGTTTCTGTCCACTTCAAGGATACTCCCTTCTGTTCCACCACTCCTTCCCCCTACAACTTTGTCAGCATTCCATGGCCACTCGGTATGCTCAATCTTCATCCGTTCTTTCTTTTGGTGACAGGTGGGTCATCTCTCTGCTTGCACGTTTTTCCTAATGATTTTTTGTACTTCTGCAAGTCCTGAGATTCTGCCAAGTCTGCAGATGCCTCCCTGATGTGGTTGAATTATGCCAACCTTTCCCAACCTGATGCCCTACAGATCTGTTGCACTATAAATCTGGAAATTCCTCACTCTAGACCATGTGGTTTGGTACTAAGAAGACCTGAAGTTCAAAACATCTCCAGGGCTCCAGGTTGGGGTAGGCTGAATTGTGCTGCTTTTATTTTGAACACAGCCACTTTTTCATGTCAGCTTTCTTCAGTGATTGCGCGCGCTCGCTCGCTCGCTCGCGCTCTCTCTCTCTCTCTCTCTCTCTCTCTCTCTCTATATATATATATATATATATGGAGAGTTGCTGGTTTGGTTTGCCAGTGACACCTGACCATTCAGTCCTCTTCTGACAGTTGGTTTGCCATGACAAATCCATTCAGTCCATGCAGTAAGGTGGGGGTGGTGCCTCAATTATTTGTCATTAGCACAAGTTGTTTTTCAGCATGATGCTGCTCTGTCTGTACTAGGAGAGTTTGTTGAATGCAAAATCATGATTTGTGTTTGGAGTGAACTACTCAGATGACCACTTTTTCATCACTTGGAGTAGTGTAATCAAAAGAGATAATTACTGTTGTTATTTGTGTTTATAGCACTTAATGCACGTGACTGTAGTACTTCCCTAATAAGGTTCATCAGTATTAGTATCCCCATATTGCAAATGTGTGGAATGTTGTTGATGTAACCTGCATTTGGATTATTTTACCTTGCTCAATATCCCAAAATACAAAGGAACCTTGTGCCAGAGGGCTTGGACACTTCTGTTGCCCTTCTTGGTGTACAGCACTTAATCCAAGAAGGCTTCAACTAACCGTATACCACATTATGTACAAACTATGAGTTACACATAGAAATTATGAATACCAAGTCCAAATCTAGCCAGGATCTTACATTTAGAAGTTGGTTTATGATGCTGGCTTCTTCCAAACTTAAAACTATAGTTTTAGGGCTTAGATGTAACAGGAATCCGAGGACTTCTTGGATTAATTGCAAATTAATTGCTGAAGAGAGAAGGGGCAACACAAGAGTGGAGCATACAGGCAAACTGTTCAGGCATATCTTGGCTTATTAAATCGAGTCATGATCATTTGGACAATGCCAGAGACTGGCTTTGCTAAAACCACCCAACAAGTTTATGATTAAGGTGCAATCTGAATCAGATATGTCACGGTTCAGACTCAGGGCTAGTCTAGACATGATGTGGAATAATCATTTCATGAATCCTTTGGCCAACAGCCCAAAGCATTTGAAAAGTCACCAACCCTCACCATCATCATCAAAAATGTATATCTTATTCAGGAATCTTTGGAATTTTTCCAAACTTTGCATATTATTAAAGCCAGCATGACAGAAAAATAATAATATCAATGGCATATTTGAAATTCACCTTAGGTCAATTTCTGAGGCTCCTGACATGTGAATTAAGCTGAAGAAATAAACAAATGGTAAATTTATCAGCTTGCATTCCTCCTTTCTCTCTAAACTGGACACCCCTGAAGAGTTCAGTTGGTGTTGGTTACAGTGGGAAAAGGAGTTGCTGGGTGCAGACATGGAA